TGAGAAGTCCCTCTGGCCTTCTATGAGAAGTCCCTCTGGCCTTCTATGAGAAGTCCCTCTGGCCTTCTATGAGAAGTCCCTCTGGCCTTCTATGAGAAGTCCCTCTGGCCTTCTATGAGAAGTCCCTCTGGCCTTCTATGAGAAGTCCCTCTGGCCTTCTATGAGAAGACCTTCTGGCCTTCTATGAGAAGACCTTCTGGCCTTCTATGAGAAGACCTTGTGGCCTTCTATGAGAAGACCTTCTGACCTTCTATGAGAAGACCTTCTGGCCTTCTATGAGAAGACCTTCTGGCCTTCTATGAGAAGACCTTCTGGCCTTCTATGAGAAGACCTCTTTGTCTTCTATGAGAAGATCTTCTTGCATTCCATGAGAAGATCTTCTTGCATTCTATGAGAAGATCTTCTCGCATTCTATGAGAAGACCTCCTGGCCTTCTATGAGAAGACCTCTTTGTCTTCTATGAGAAGACCTTCTGGCCTTCCAAGAGAAGACCTTCAGGTCTTCTATGAGAAGACTTCTTGATCTCCTATGAGAAGACCTTCTGGGCTTCTTCTTCTATGAAAAGAGCATCTGGCCTTTCGGTCTTATAGGAGATGACTTTTGGTCTTCTACGAGAACATCTTCTGGCCTTCTGTGAAAAGACTTTCAGGCTTTCTATGAGAAGACATTTTGGTCTTCTAGGAAAAGACCTTCTAGGAGGCGACCTTCTAGTCTTCTAGGAGACCACCTTCTGGTCTTCTAGAAGACCACCATCTGGTCTTATAGGGGACTATCTTCTGGTCTTCTACGAGAAGATCTTCAGGCCTTCTTTGAGAAAATCTTCTGTTCTTTCATGAGACGACCTTCTGGCTTTCTTTAAGAAGACATTTTGGTCTTCTTTGAGAAGACCTTCTGGCCTTCTATGAAAAAACTTTCTGGCCTTCTAGGAGAAGACCTCCTGACCTTCTACAAGGAGACGTTCTTATTTTTTGACATGATTTTAAAAAGAAAGCTTAACTTTTAATTCACTTTTCGCGTTTATATACCCTCAAACGTATGGATACAGAGGTATATATCATTGGATACGGCCATAACGTGCCTCATCGAAATTACCCTAGGCCGCAGGTCTCTTTGGACCAAATCCGTTTCACGACATTTGGAATTGATCTGGGATTGTCCGACCGTCAGTCTGTCTATCTGTCATACATAGATCGAGTTTAGAGATGGGAAACATCGTTTCACTCCTTCTGGTGTGAATATAGGATAAATCGGCACACTCTAAATTTCTGAATAATTAATTCTAATTATTTAAAATGCGAAAGAAGTATCGTATTCTCTTCGAATTTCATGTATCCCATTATTTTAGTAACGCAAGTTCCTGTGTGGAAACGATAGATACCGTCCAAGCCCTTCTGATACCTCACGTTTTGCAGATTGTTCACAAAAAATATTGTAATAGATTTCTGATTTTGTTCAAATCTAAGAATTAGTTCAGATGAGAAGTGGATAATATTGATCCGCTCTTTTGGTATATCTTCCAAAAATGGTTAAATAATACTACTTCATAATTAAATCACTAGACCATAAAATAATATAGAATTCTAGCTGGCTGGTTGGCTACCCCACTAACAGTCGATATCGGGAAAAAATCAGCATTTTATGGAAGTATAACTAAAAACAAGTAACATAGTATCAGTCGAATTTTTTTTATTAGAAATAATGTAAGTCAAAATAATATTTCAATAAACTGTTGTATGCGTTTTTACTGTAGTTGTCGTTGTTTCCCATTTATAGTGTGTTGCTATTTTTAACGAAAACTTGGCAACCCTTATGGTTAAACTCAACATTGATAAGAGAACAACGCAATTAACTTCATATCTCAGATGGTGGAGATGTTAAATGCTAAAGATGCTAAAGGCTTGGTAAAAATGTCTTACTAAGGATTCAGATATGAATTGCATCCTTCGTATAAAGAATAGAATGAGATGCAAAATGGATGTTATTCCAAATCACTTTAACCACTGCTTAAAGAGCATTTTTGATATTCTCTCAATCTACGTGAACGTGAATACACAGATAAACTATGTATTAGTTAACACCATTTGGGAAATTCTTATAAAAAGTATTTTTTCAAATAATTTATTTAAATAACTTCAATAATCTTTTTATCACACACTTTTTTATCTTCTCAAACTTTATTGTATTTGGAATGGTTAAGTAAGAACCTTTGGCATACCTTAACTAATGAACGCTATAAACGCTACCCAGATACTCTTTAGAAACGTACAAATAACAACACACGCCCGACGAAAGCCAAATAAACACTGATTGAATGTATGTATGAACAGAAAGCACAATAATACAAACTGAGGCATATGAGACAACAGCTGTTTTTCCCCCAAACTGTTGTTGGCGCCCAAACACAACCAAACAGAGAGAAACGTGTTCTCTGTTCTCTTTAATCATAAAACACAAGAGAATAGGGGATACCGTTGGAAAACAAACTATAATTGGGAGAGTACTACAACTGAGAATTGTTTTCTTGATAAGTACGTTTATTTGATTGATTAGAAATAAGATTTCCAATAAAGATAGGAATAAAATCTTTAGTATTTTATCCCTAATTGATTTAATAAGAGCCGAAATTTTCGAATTATAAACTTGATTTATAATCCCACTTCACAATTTAATCACTAGACCATTAAATAATATAGAATTCAAGCTGGCTGGCTATCTCGTTGAAAGTCGATATGAGGGAAAAATTCAGCATTTTATGGAAGTATAACTAAAAACAAGTTAAATAGTATCAGTCGGTTTTGCCGACAGAGGTTCCTAAGCAATTGGTCAATATTGACAAATTTGTATCTGACCTAAGACTGAAATAAATATTACAACGTGTCAGATTTGGACTATGTCGACTACTTCCTACTTTTTGTACGAAATATGTGTACATTTTTGGAAAATGTATTCCACAAAGTATATATATTTTCTTAATCAGCATAAAATTCTATATCAATTTATTTTGTATTTTGGTGATTTTGGCGACATTATTTACCTGAATTATTACAAATATCATATTTAAAGTTCGTAATGGGTACTACAGCCTATGACAAATTTTTTTTGTATGCAGGTACACGTCTTCGTATAGCGATATATCCCGATATTCGGCATTTTGATGATTTCAGCAACATTAAGCACCGGAATCGTTTCAAATTTCGTATTAGAAGATCTTAATGGGTACTACAACCTATGGCAAAAAATTTCGTATGCAGGTCCACCTCTCGTATAGCCCCTCCCGATACTAGGTGTTTTGATAATTTCAGCAACAGTATTCACTGGAACTTTTTCAAATTTCGTATTTGAAGTTCGTAATGTGTACTACAGCCTAGGACAAAAAAATTCGTGAACACTTCCAAGTCTTCGTATAGTCCCCAACATCAGCAGAAATGGTTCGAAAAGTAAAGAAGTGACTTGATCGAAACCCGCGTCGCTGTGGCTGAAAAATGGCTTCTAGGCTGAACATATCACAATATTCCATTCGGCAAATATTGCACAATAAGCTCGGGGTAAAGCCATTGAAATTCCAAAAAAAGCAAGTACTTACACCGCATCTGAACGAAAATAGACTCAAAAGAGCTAAAGAGTGGCTTCGCTTGGCCGAAAGTGCTGAACTGCCGAATTTGCCAAAGAGGTCAGCTGAAAATATGCACCTTCGGTTGGCCACCAGAACTCAAACGCCGGCTATGGTGTGGTGTGGTCCGCCATAACAGCCGATGGTCGCTCTCCGCTCGTATAAATCGACCATGGCATCAGAATAAATGCCGAATATTACCGCGAACATATTCTTGAGGGTGTAAAAAAGCCTTGGGCACGCAAACATTTTGGCCGCAGACCGTAGACATTCCAACAGGACTCTGTACCATCGCACTCATCACGCGCCCCTATAATGGTTACAAAATTAGGTTCCTCTCTTCATTTCCAGCCCAAAATGGCCACCAAAATCTCCGGATACCAATCTGTTGGACTATTGTGTCTGGAGTATTTTGGAAAGCAAGGTTGGCACAAAAAAAATACCAAAGTGTCGATCACCTCAAGCAAGCGCTTCGGCTGGAATGGGCCAAAATACCACAGAACAACATTCGGGCTGCGTGTGAAGGTTTCATTGGTCGTTTAAAGGCCATAATTCGTGCCTGATGTCTGATGCTTATTTCGGATTTTATAATCGTTTTGGTTATTCGAAACATTGACCCTTTGTGGTGGAGGTAGCAGAAGAAATGGTCCGATCTCTACCATCTTTATAACAGATCTTGTGTTGATCGAAATATTGAGATGCATCAAGTCTGAATGGAATCTGATGTGATCTTCGTGTTTTATTAGCTTCATGGTTACTCAAAATATTTACCCTTTATGGGGAAGGTACCAGAAGGAGTGGACCGATATATCCCATCTTCACAGAAGATTTTGTGTTAGTAAAAATAATGACATGTGTGAAATATGAAGAGAGCCGGATGCTTATTTCGGATTTTATGATCGTTTTGCTTATTCAAAATGTTGACCCTTTGTGTGGGATGTACCAGAGGAAATGGTCCGATCTCTACAATCTTTATAACGGATCTTGCGTTGATGGAAATATTGAGCTCTGTAAAGTCTGATTGGAATCGGATGTTTATTTCGGGTTTTATGACCCTTTGTGGGGGAGGTAACAGAAGGAGTAGACTCATATATTCCATATTCACACCTTACCTTGGGTTAATAAAAAATCGGACTCTCACATCACATTTTATAAAAGTTGTAATCATTCCAAATTTTGACATATGTGAGGGAGGTACTTGATGGAGTGGACCATTATTATGGATGTTCGCACCTGACCTAACATTGATGCAAATATTAGAATTCGCAAAGTTGGTGCATGATTTATCCTTTCTCTTTCGTGCAGTTGAATATTTTCTTTGAATCTAAGATTTAACACACATTTTATGCTTCATTCATCTTTACTTACTGTGACATATTTATTTGGCTGCTGGTGGTAACCGTAACAAAAAATTTTATTAATATTTTTTTAACTAATTATTTCTTCTTTGTACTTTTTTCTTTTTGTTAGTCAGCTTTCTCCCAGCTATCCGCTTTATGGTGTGTTTTAGTCGGCGATCGCGCGATCACTAAGCCAACAAAGTGGTTTGTTTATTGTAATGATTTTTGCAAAAAACATAAAGGAGCAAAAAAACGCGCTAAGTTCGGTCAGGTCGAACTTTTAATACCCTTCTCCATTAAATAACTGAAAACAAAATTCATTTTTTTCAGTATCATTAGGTTCGTCCGTTTACTTTCCCAGTAACACTTACTAAGTGGGAAAATACTGAGAACATACTCTCTCCCTCTCTCTCTCTCTGGAGAAAAAATTGTAAAAACTAAACGAATATCATCATGCAAAACTTTTGAAAAATAACAGCTGATCCATCAAAACAACTTTAGCGCAAATCTTAAACGTAGAAATATTTTAATGCAGCTTTTTGTGTTTTCATTGTCATAACAAAAAAAAAACAAGTGTGCATATTTGGAGATGTTACAAATTGAATGACAATTCTAATATACCCCCTTCTATGATGTAGAGTATAAGGAAAACTTAATCTCTCCTCTTCACATGTGCTTTGCTTTTTTAAAGCTTTACTCAGCAAATAAACTTGTTCGCAAAGCAACTATGTTGTTGTTGTCTTTGTTGGTTTTAATTTTGTAGAGATGGAAACAACGATATTCCCATTTCATTATAATTTAAGTCATGTATAGCCCCCATATAACGGTACCCCCGATATTCGGTATTTTGATGATTGTAGCCAAATTTTTCACTGGAATTGTCTGAAAATCCACAAAAGAAGTTCTTTCTAAATACTTTACTCCCTGGAAGAGAATTGTCATATAGGCCAACGATATCATATAGCCCCCAGTACCCCCCGATATTTGGTATTTTGATGATTTTATGAACATTATTTACCGGAATTGTTTCAAATTTCATATTTAGAGTTCCTATGACAAAAGATTGTTAATGGAGCTCGAGGTCTTCGTATGGCCCACATATATCGGTACTTTACTATTCTCGGTTTTTATGATTTTAGCAACATTATTCACCGGAATAGTTTAAAATTTCGTATTTAAAGTTCCTAATGGGTTATACAGCCTGTGACAGTAAAATTGTCTATGCAGGTAAAATTCTTAGTATAAAGCTACCTCCCTACATTCGGTATTTTGATGATTTTAGCTATTATTATTCATCGTAGACCGTATAGACCCCAATAAGCGACTTCCTATATTTTGCATTTTTAAAATTTTAACAGAATTTTAAAGGCTTTTTTTTTGAAAAATTTCCAATTCGTTCCAAATGTTGGGTAAAGGGCAATTTTTAAGAACTGTGGAAAAAATACACTAAAACTACGTCTCCGTATAGACCCCAATAAGCGACTTCCTATATTTTGCATTTTTAAAATTTTAACAGAATTTTAACGGTTTTTTTTTTTTTTTTTTTGAAAAAATTCCAATTCGTTCCAAATATTGGGTAAAGGGCAATTTTTAAGAACTGTGGAAAAAATACACTAAATTTTCCATTGATAGTACGGTCCAAATAATTTAATGTTTAAAGAATATACGATGCAAATGTTGACTGCGATTGCGCCTCTTTTCAAAATTTCCATGGTATTTCACGTATTAATGCTTCATTGTTGTCTTCCCATGTGTCAAATGAGGCGGGCTCCTCTATATAGACATGCGCCTTAACAAAGCGCGACAAAAAATAATCTAAAGGCATTAAATCGCCCGATCTAGTCTCGAAAGTCAAATAAAATGTTTACCAAACTCTCCTCTTAATAAGTCCTATGTTACGCTTGTCGTATGACATGTGGCATCATCTTGTTGAAACCACATGTAATGCAAGTCAAGCTCCTCAATTTGGGGCAAAAAAGTTGAACCTCATCACTTAACTTAATCTTACGATGAAGCAATTAAAAAAATTAAGTTTGACCGTGACGAACTTTTAATACCCTCCACCATTGGGTAAATAAAGCTTTTTTATATAAAAGTATCTGGATTCACCTGTGTTCCACTTTAAACTACAAATACCAGCTAGACCCTTTAAATAATGCAGTTAATGTGGGCCATACAAAAACGGCAACATAAATTTATACTACAAGGGTTGTTTTCTACAGGGTGATATGAAAAAACTGCCACCAACTTTAGACTGCTGTCATTCTTAAGCCAGCAAACGCCGGCCAGGGTGATTGTGTGGGCCGCGTTAAAAGCCGATGGTCGCTCTCCGCTCGTATTAGTCGACCGTGGCATCAAAATAAATGCCGAATATTATCGCAAAAATATTCTGGAGGGTGTAGTAAAGACTTGCGCACGAAAACATTTTGGCCGCAGACCTTGGACATTCCAACAGGACTCAGCACCATCGCACTCAGCACGCACCACCCAAGAATGGTTACAAAATGAGGTTACTCGCTTCATTTTCACAATGGCCACCAAAATCTCCGGATACCAATCCGTTGGACTATTGTGTCTGGAGTATTTTGGAAAGCAAGGTTGGCACTAAAAAATACCAAAGCATCGATCACCTCAAGCAAGCGCTTCGTCGGGAATGGGCCAAAATACCGCAGAGCAAACATTCGGGCAGCGTGTGACGGTTTCATTCACCGTTTGAAGGTCATAATTCGTGCCAAAGGTAACCAATTCGAACAAACCTAAACTCTTTCTAAAATTTGATGCTATTTCCGACATTTGTTGCTTTCATTCAATAAAATTTAAAAAAAAAAAAAAACAAGTAAAAAAGCTGTAAGTTCGGCCGGGCCGAACTTTTAATACCCTCCACCATATGGTACAAATTTGACAATTTCCAAAAAAAATAAATTAATAAATAAAATCCGTTAAAAATTCTGTTAAAATCTTAAAAATACCGAATGCCTATACGACGACGTGGACCTGCATAGGCAACTTTTGTCATAAGTTATTACAATATTTAAATGCGAAACTTGAAGAAAAAATCTGTTTATAATGTAGCTAAAATCATCAATCATATGGGGGCTATACGAAGACTAAAGTATCCATTACGAACTTCACATGCGAAATTTGAAACAATCCCGGTAAACAATGTCGCTAAAATCATTAAAATACCGAATATCGGGGGGTACGGTATATGGGGGCTATACAAAGACGTGAACCTACATGGCCCATTTTCTGTTTTATGCTGCAGCATCTATTACGAACTTCAAATACCAAATTTGGAACGATTCCGTTAAATAATGTCGCTAAAATCATCAAAAATACGGAATATCGGGGGGTACCGTTATATAAGGGCTATACGAAGACGTGGACCTACAAAGATTATTTTCTGTCTTAGGCTGTAGTATCCATTTGGAACTTCAAATACCAAATTTGAAACAATTCCAGTGAATAGTGTCGCTAAAATCATCAAAATACCGAATATCGGGAGGTACGGTTGTATGAGGGCTATATGAAAACGTGGTCCTACATGGCCCATTTACGAACTTAACCTGCCTACTGGCAAAACATACATGTGTGCAAAATTTTAGCCTTCTATCTCAATTTGTTCGAAAGATAGCGTGATTACAACAGACAGACGGACGGACGGACAGACAGACATGGCTAAATTGTCTTAGAATTCTACGCTGATCAAGAATATATATACTTTGTTGGGTCTGACATGAGTATTTCGAGGAGTTACAAACGGAATGACAAAATTAATAGACCCTCCATAGTATGGTGGAGGGTATAAAAATATGTAAAAAATATAGTGTTTGACTTTGTTGCAGATTGTTTATCTCATCTTGCATATGGACCATGTCGGTCGATTTTTTTAAGAGACTAATAGAACTATTGTTATCTATTATATTGCTGAAGATACTGTATACCTAAAATGTAGGGATTCCAAGGATTCTTAATTCGAAAATTCCCAAAGCGGGGGAACTTGCCCTTTCTATTTACATTACTTTGCGATTATAACTTTCAAAACGCCGTTCTTCTTTCAAATTCAAAATAAATTAATTTTCTCGCACATTCTTTTTGTTTGAATAGTCTCTCAAAAATTTCCTTACAAATCCACGATTATTGATTTGAAAGTTCCTCAAAAACAATTTATAAAAAATTCCGCGTCTATCATGGCTCTAAGAATCCCTTTAGAAACATATTTGAAAATTCAACGTTCTTAGCTCTGATAGTTCTCTAAAAATATCACAAAAATCTATGAATATTTTCCCAAACATTTTTTTGAATTACAATTGTACCTCTGATATCCCTTTGTCTTAAAATTCATTTAGCTCTCTTAGCAATTTCTTGAAACAATTCATGATTGTTTTTTTTTTTTTATACCCTACAACACTATGTGTTGGGGGTATTATAAGTTTGATTGGGCCAAAAATTATGTAACACCACGAAATATTGGTTTCCCACATAGGAAAGTATATATGGATCTTCCTAGCTCGCCGAGCTGAGTCGATCTAGCTATGTATGTCCGTCCGTCCATCTGTCCGTCTGTCCATGTTAATTTGTAATCACTCTACAGGTCGCAATTATGGCCCGATCTTCACGAAATTTAGTATGGAGGTGGGGATAAGGTCAGGTGGAGATGATCGCACAATATTTAGGGGTCGAAATGGACCAAAAACTGAAAAAAAAACCTGATTTTGCAGTTGCTCTACAGGTCGCAATTATGGACCGATCGACGCGGAAATTAGCATGGGGCTAAAGCTTCGGGCTGGGCAGAAGCCTTCCGATTTTGATGGTCATCGGGTAATATTTAGTGGGTGAAAAAGACTATAACATTTGTGTTAAATAAAAGTCAAATTTCCATTATACCGCGAACATTTTTAATCCTGGCGAAATCACAAATAGACGAACAGGTCAATTCTGACCGTTACGTAGATGCCGATAGTAAATATATCGGATATATATAGCGAAATATATGCAATGTGTATATAGAAAGGAAGGGGATGTTAGTTAGAATGCTTATATTTCTAGAATGGCTGGACCGATTTTGACAAATTTTGTCAATTCAGAATGCCCTCTTGACATAAAAGTATAAAATCTAAAAAAAAAACCGCATAAAAATAAGTAAAAAATGATCATAATATAGATTTTTTGTATTTTGTGACATTTTTTTATTTTTTCATATTTTTTATCGCATGCGATTTTTTCAATTTGACTTATAATATTTAGGTGTACATTTTGTAATATTTTTCCACCTTAAAACACAGGTTTGGGATATTATATACAGATTGCAATTATCGTCCGATCCTCACGAAAAGGGTAGGGTTATGCTCAGAAGGACTTGGCCTATTGTTTCTAAAGATGTCCGCAATATATTTAGGGGTTGAAATGGACCAACAACTAAAAATTTTCCTGTTTTTGCAGCCGTTATAAAGGTCATAAATAGAAACCAAAGGACACGAAATCTCGCATGAAGTTAGAGTTTAGGACAGCGGATAGAATGGACCACTACTTTTGTCTGAAAAATACCAACATCACTTACAGGCGATAGGCTGATTTCGTTGACGAGTATAGCCAAATATCGTAGACAAGAAGATCGTATAGAAGAGTCTAAATTTGGAGATACAGAGGGGTCTCTTGCTTTTGGATATGATCGCAAAATACGACGGAGTGCGTAAATATTGGGCAAATGTCCCTGGTCAAAATGCTGGGCACATAATTTCAAAAGCGAAATCTTCCAAATGGATTTGGACATAAGGGGGCTTCTAATCTATTGTAGTGTTGTAGGGTATCACATGGTCGGCCCCGCACGACTGTAGCCGTTGCTTACTTGTTTTTTTTTTTTTTTTTGATAATTTCTTTTCTTTAAAAAATACAAGATTATTGCTTTGATAGTACCTCAAAACCCCTTATAATTCCTTTAAAACAGTCATTACAAATCAGCGATTAGTGACAAAAAATATATCAGAAAAAAGCCAATTTTCGTAGATCTGATACTTCCTATAGATATGCTCCTAAACCAGCGCTGCTCAAGAAAAAAATATCCCTTTCCAGTCAAATTTCTCTTTGCTTATTTAAATCAAGAAGAAATCAGTGTTAAGTCATTATTTATACAAATATTTTTTATCCATTTGCTTTATAAATTATTTTGGTAAACATTTATGTTTAAAAACAATTAAATGGAATCGCAAAATATAGAGAAAAACAGAACTTTAATTTTCTCTTAAATTATCTCTTTTTTTCGGCTCATGTTTTAGAACACGGTTTTAAGCAGTGCTGTACTAAACAGTCCATGTTTATAACCCTGGTACTTTTCTATTCTTTAAATGTTCCACATTTGTAGCTCTGATAGTCCTTCATTGTTTTCCTCTTGCTTCAATCATGGTATCCATGGTTTCAAATACAATTTTTGTTTTTCGTATATTTACAATTTCTCTTTAATATCAAATAATTAATTTCATATTCTACAACATTCAGTCCAAATCATTGAGCTCTACTCTATTTAATATAAAACCTTGTATGGATTCAAAATACCATTTGGATCCAACAACTGCTTCATGTCACGCATCATATTTATGGCTTCCGGACTCTTGGAGTGTTTCAAATATTTTGTCTTTAAAAATCCAATACCATGTTCAGCACTAACACTACCCTTCAGCTGGGCGGTATATTCATAGATGAAAGGCTCCAGCAATTTATACAATTCCGGCGAATACTGTTCACATGAGACATTAAGATGGAGATTCAAATCACCCAAATGGCCATAACCAGTTACACGTTTAGCCAAGTGGCCGGCACGTTTTTCCACCACTTTAACGATGTCATAGAAGGAACGCAACGGTAGGGATATGTCATATTTGAAACAATAACCATCCTTGGTCAATGCGGTGGAAATGAATTCCCTTAGCTTCCAGATTTCCAACATTTTACTGGGTTCACAGGTATAGGTGCCATCCACTACATCACCCTTGTCCATAACCAATTGAATGAAATTGTTTAATTTTTCCATATCATGTTCGGCATTGCTGCCCGAGGTTTCGATCAACATATAGAAGGGGTAGCCTTCAATGGGAGATCTGGAAGGAAAAAAGCAAAGAAATTAGTTTCAATTTTTTGGTATTTACTTCCTAGGAACACTTTACAGGCCTTAATGAGATCGGAATTACACCAATTGACTCAGTTAGGGCTTGCCTTGCAGAAAGTAATGAGGGGGTGTTGAAAAATACTCACTGTAGATTGTTATTTTCTATGCTGGCTGCCAATGATGGGGCATCAATTAATTCACATGATGATAAAATCTCACCCAGATGACGTTTGGCATTCTTCAAGGTTTGCATGACAGCCTCAAAAGAGTTAAGGGCTAGGGATGAAAAATAGTGTTACACTTTTTCCATTACAAAATATTTTCCCAACACTTACCCAAAAATGCCACATTTACTGAATCAGATATGGCGGGACACAGAATGGCCAATTGGTAACAACACCCAAGGTGCCCTCGGAACCAATGAACAAATGTTTCAAATGATAGCCTGTATTGTCTTTTTTAAAATCGGACATCAAATCGATTACCTTTCCATTGGCCAAAACCTAAAATGAAAATATATTTTGAGTTCAACAAAAATAAAAGAATTTCAATTTTACCCACCGCCTCCACACCCAACACAGAGCCATGTAAATTTCCATAACGTATCACCCGCAAACCGCCAGCATTTGTTGAGATATTACCACCAATGTGACAACTTGATTTGGCGCCCAAATCCAATGGCACAACAAACCCAGCCTCACGTGTCTTGGCATCCAAATTCTCCAAAATCACACCCGATTCACAGGCCGTGATGCCAGTTATATCATCAATGCTGAGAATTTTATTTAAACGTGCCAATGAAAGAACAATTTCATCACAAACCGGCACGGAGCCACCCACCAAACCGGTGTTACCACCCTGTGGACATACCGCCAAACGGCGTTCATTACAGTATTTCAGAATTTCTGATATTTCTTGGGTGGAACCAGGTTTCAACACCAATTGACTGCGACCTCGGACACTACGCAAAAAATCCACATTATATCCTTGCAAATCATCGGTACTGTCTTGCAGTATATTTGTGGGTCCAATTAGGGATTCGAAAAAGGACACATCTTTGCCATTCAATTCGGCATAGTTGCCTCGTTTGATGTTGTGTCGAACCTGTGAAGAGAGAAAAATAAAATTTGTAAAAATTACTCAGTATCTGTCTGAAATAAGTATACGGCCTATGATCGAGGGGAAGTCTTAAACCAAATGGATATAAACCATATTCGAACTATATAAGAATAGACTAAATCGAATCACCTCATTTTGGACAAGGGGTAAATTAAAAAAACATACAGGGTGAGATGAAAAAACAGCAACCAACTTCAGACTGCTGTCATTTCAAAGCCACCCGTTCGACAGCTGTTAAAATTATTCCAGTGACAGCTCATTCTATTGTTTACAAGCGTACATAAGCGTTTTGGTGAGAATTTTCCAGAAAGAAAAGTTATTCGTAATGGAATTCAAGCGTGATAGTATGATTTCTTTATGTTCGGCTGGAAAACCACAAGTGGCTATCGTTTGAACACTCCAGCATTTAAATGTGAACAAATCTTTGGTGTCTTGTACCATCGCTCATTACCGTGATACTGGTAGCATAGCCCGACGTCAAGGAATAAACGGAAGAAAACAGCAACATCAGCAGAAATTGAAAAGTGAAGAAGCGACTTGATCGAAACCCGCGTCGCAGTGACCGAAAAATGGCTCATGAGCTAAACATATCGCAATATTCCATTCGGAAAATATTGAAAGATGAGCTCGGGGTAAAGCCGTTGAAGTTCCAAAAAGTGCAAGAACTTACACCGCAACAGAAAGAAAATAGACTCAAAAGAGCTAAAGAGTTGCTTCGCTTGACCGAAAGTGGTGAACTACCGAATTTGGTTTTCTCCGATGAGAAAACATTCCTTGTCCAGCAGTTTGTAGCGTGTTTACTTGCCAAAGAGGTCAGCTGAAAATATGCACCTTCGGTTGGGCACCAGAACTCGCCAGAATCCGGCCATGGTGATGGTGTGGGTCGCCATAACAGCCGATGGTCGCCCTCCGCTCGTATTAATCGAACGTGGCATCAGAATAAATGCCGAATATTATCGCGAAAATATTCTGGAGGGTGTATTAAAGCCTTGGGCACGCAAAAATTTTGGCCGCAGACCATGCCCTTTCCAACAGGACTCAGCACCATCGCACTCAACACGCGCCATCCAAGAATGGTTACAAAATGAGGTTCATCGTCTCATTTCCAGCGCACAATTGCCACGAAAATCTCCGGATACCAGTCCGTTGGACTATTGTGTCTGGAGTATTTTGGAAAGCAAGGTTGGCACTAAAAGATACCAAAGTGTTGATCAGCTCAAGCAAGCGCTTCGCCGGGAATAGGCCAAAATACCGGAGAGCAACATTCGGGCAGCGTGGGACGGTTTCATTGGCCGTTTGAAGGCCATAATTCGTGCCAAAGGTGACTAATTCGATCAAATCTAAACTTATTCTTAAATTTGATGCTATTTCCGACCTTTTTTGCTTTCATTCAATAAAATTTGAAAAAAAAATGTAGTTTTTTTTATCTCACCCTGTATGTGTCAACTATATGGTATGGAACCAATTATAGCAATATTTACTGATAATAATTATTCAAAAATCTCCGATTTTGGGAGTTATTTGAAATGGAAAGTTTACTCCAACACAATTTCCCAATTCTGAATATTTCAATACAAATGCAGAGTTTTTTAGAATAGTTATTCCATACTTAAATTTTGGATTCTACATTTACCTCTGTTAATTCTGGTATACCCGAAGTCTTATATGTCCGCAAGGCTGGTAAGAATGTATTCCTTATTTTCTGCAAATTATTAGAACGTAACATCTGAAAATACAAAAAACAAAAAAAATAATTTTAATGGTTTTGGTATTTTGAAATTAATAGATTGAAATCAATAATAGTTTACCATTATTAAGAAAATTACTACGCCTCTACCCCCACTCTAATTTTACAACAAGAAGAAAACTCTTCAGAAAAATTACTCAGAATTCGGACCTACTGCGGTCCGACGCGTCGGAAAAACTTCAGACGTTGAACCGGAAGTATTTTCTTCGCTGGAATGATTCACCCAAACACCCAAAATTCCAAACCATCTATTAATTTAAACATTTTAGTTTTTTTCTAAATAAAATTGCCGACACGTGCCATTTTTCAACACATACATGTTGTGTGATTCCAGATTTTCATTACATAACATCATATAAGTTTCAAATTATTTTAAATGACTTCCTCATGTTCAAACTAAACAAAAAATATGATAAATTTTCTATTATATTTTTTTATTTTGCGGTACTAAAAGATTTCGTCTCTGAAATGTAATAAAGTACGGTTGACTATGGTCGACTTAACTAGCAGAGGGTATTATTTTTCATTGTTTATAGTTTACAAAACTATTTATCAAAACATCAGCGTCTGCTGTATGTCTGAAACAGACAAAATTCACTCTAATCAATGCTAGACTCAAAATGTATTCCCATATTGTTCGCATGTATGTATGTATGTTCTCATGTATGTCTCCGACAGCATAAAAATATAAGTGGGGTAGCACGGGACTCCAGTGTGATCAATAGAGAATTGTCCAATATTCTCTGGCATGTGTAGGTACATACACGCAAACAAAAAAACATACGCGTGCAAGAGTTCCAAAATTCGTCAACAGTTCTATTTTGATATGTTAATTCAGTTTTCTAGACACTCTTTAGACTCTAGCCGTAAGCGAGTACATTTTAATAAAAAAAATTTAAAATGTTTATCAAATCTCTCGTGTGGTAAATAAACGTAAAACCGGTCATCTGTTGGGTCTTTCTTGTGTTGTATCTGGCGGAACACATGTTAGGGTTGCCATGGCACAGTAAAACTGCTACTATATAAAGACTTTCTGGTCTTCTATGAGAAGTCCCTCTGGCCTTCTATGAGAAGTCCCTCTGGCCTTCTATGAGAAGTCCCTCTGGCCTTCTATGAGAAGTCCCTCTGGCCTTCTATGAGAAGTCCCTCTGGCCTTCTATGAGAAGTCCCTCTGGCCTTCTATGAGAAGTCCCTCTGGCCTTCTATGAGAAGTCCCTCTGGCCTTCTATGAGAAGACCTTCTGGCCTTCTATGAGAAGACCTTCTGGCCTTCTATGAGAAGACCTTGTGGCCTTCTATGAGAAGACCTTCTGACCTTCTATGAGAAGACCTTCTGAAGATCTTCAGGCCTTCTTTGAGAAAATCTTCTGTTCTTTCATGAGACGACCTTCTGGCTTTCTTTAAGAAGACATTTTGGTCTTCTTTGAGAAGACCTTCTGGCCTTCTATGAAAAAACTTTCTGGCCTTCTAGGAGAAGACCTCCTGACCTTCTACAAGGAGACGTTCTTATTTTTTGACATGATTTTAAAAAGAAAGCTTAACTTTTAATTCACTTTTCGCGTTTATATACCCTCAAACGTATGGATACAGAGGTATATATCATTGGATACGGCCATAACGTGCCTCATCGAAATTACCCTAGGCCGCAGGTCTCTTTGGACCAAATCCGTTTCACGACATTTGGAATTGATCTGGGATTGTCCGACCGTCAGTCTGTCTATCTGTCATACATAGATCGAGTTTAGAGATGGGAAACATCGTTTCACTCCTTCTGGTGTGAATATAGGATAAATCGGCACACTCTAAATTTCTGAATAATTAATTCTAATTATTTAAAATGCGAAAGAAGTATCGTATTCTCTTCGAATTTCATGTATCCCATTATTTTAGTAACGCAAGTTCCTGTGTGGAAACGATAGATACCGTCCAAGCCCTTCTGATACCTCACGTTTTGCAGATTGTTCACAAAAAATATTGTAATAGATTTCTGATTTTGTTCAAATCTAAGAATTAGTTCAGATGAGAAGTGGATAATATTGATCCGCTCTTTTGGTATATCTTCCAAAAATGGTTAAATAATACTACTTCATAATTAAATCACTAGACCATAAAATAATATAGAATTCTAGCTGGCTGGTTGGCTACCCCACTAACAGTCGATATCGGGAAAAAATCAGCATTTTATGGAAGTATAACTAAAAACAAGTAACATAGTATCAGTCGAATTTTTTTTATTAGAAATAATGTAAGTCAAAATAATATTTCAATAAACTGTTGTATGCGTTTTTACTGTAGTTGTCGTTGTTTCCCATTTATAGTGTGTTGCTATTTTTAACGAAAACTTGGCAACCCTTATGGTTAAACTCAACATTGATAAGAGAACAACGCAATTAACTTCATATCTCAGATGGTGGAGATGTTAAATGCTAAAGATGCTAAAGGCTTGGTAAAAATGTCTTACTAAGGATTCAGATATGAATTGCATCCTTCGTATAAAGAATAGAATGAGATGCAAAATGGATGTTATTCCAAATCACTTTAACCACTGCTTAAAGAGCATTTTTGATATTCTCTCAATCTACGTGAACGTGAATACACAGATAAACTATGTATTAGTTAACACCATTTGGGAAATTCTTATAAAAAGTATTTTTTCAAATAATTTATTTAAATAACTTCAATAATCTTTTTATCACACACTTTTTTATCTTCTCAAACTTTATTGTATTTGGAATGGTTAAGTAAGAACCTTTGGCATACCTTAACTAATGAACGCTATAAACGCTACTCAGATATTCTTTAGAAACGTACAATTAACAACACACGCCCGACGAAAGCCAAATAAACACTGATTGAATGTATGTATGAACAAAAACCACAATAATACAAACTGAGGCATATGAGACAACAGCTGTTTTTCCCCCAAACTGTTGTTGGCGCCCAAACACAACCAAACAGAGAGAAACGTGTTCTCTGTTCTCTTTAATCATAAAACACAAGAGAATAGGGGATACCGTTGGAAAACAAACTATAATTGGGAGAGTACTACAACTGAGAATTGTTTTCTTGATAAGTACGTTTATTTGATTGATTAGAAATAAGATTTCCAATAAAGATAGGAATAAAATCTTTAGTATTTTATCCCTAATTGATTTAATAAGAGCCGAAATTTTCGAATTATAAACTTGATTTATAATCCCACTTCACAATTTAATCACTAGACCATTAAATAATATAGAATTCAAGCTGGCTGGCTATCTCGTTGAAAGTCGATATGAGGGAAAAATTCAGCATTTTATGGAAGTATAACTAAAAAGAAGCTAAACAGTATCAGTCGGTTTTGCCGACAGAGGTTCCTAAGCAATTGGCCAATATTGACAAATTTGTATCTGACCTAAGACTGAAATAAATATTACAACGTGTCAGATTTGGACTATGTCGACTACTTCCTACTTTTTGTACGAAATATGTGTACATTTTTGGAAAATGTAGAAATATGCGTGAGGTAACGGATATAGCGGACCGAAGTATTCCACAAAGTATACACTGGTGGCCAAAACTAAAGCAACTGAAATTACATGGAGAATGAATGCCCTGTAACTTTTTAAAAAATTAAGAAAATGAGAAAGTTTTTCTTGTTCTAAATAAGGTACTTTATTCACTTTTTAAAAACCTAAAACATAAAACCAAAATTCATTTTTATATAAAAAATAATGTTTGGTAAAGTCAACTAACCCGATTTTGGCTTGGACAAAACAAAAGCAACTCTGTTGTATATTCATATAACCGCTTCAATTTCAGTTGTTTTTACTGTGATATTTATCGCTTTTTGCTTCCTTCGACAATTTCGCTTGTCATAAATCCTTTTAGAGAAGTTTTTTACAACAGTATGTGTTTTTCTTTTCGTTTTTTAAGTACTTCCCAAAAATTTTTAAAAATGGCTAGAAGCAAATACAGTACCTGAATAAAACAGCAAATTATCAGTGACTATCAAAACAACATATCACAGAAAATGATTTTCGACAAATATTTCATAAATATTTATGTTATTTCATAATTATTTCTGTATACTAAGTCGGTTTTTTGAAACTGGATCAGTAGTAACAGTCTATAACGGATGAAGGCCATGAAAAACTTCAGCCCGTAATGATCCACAAATTGTGAGAGAAATAAAAAACAACCATTTAAGAGTTCAACTGGATTGGTGAGAGAGCAATCATTGGATATAAGCTCGAGATCAGTGCGTAGACGAGTAGTGGCAGCTGGTCTGCATGACCGTAAGACATCAAAAAACCATTTATATCTAAAAAAATCAAAAAGGCTTTCGGAAACGATAACATTAAGTGGAATCAAGCTCAATGGAAAAAAGATTATTTCTGGGATGAGTCTACGTTTAAAAATAAAGGCTCAGACGTGAAAAATTTTACGGCGAGAAGACCAAAAAATGAAGGACTCAAGCCGCAGTGTTGCAAAGGTACAGTGAAGCATGAGGGTGGGTCAAAAATGGCGTGGCGCTGTTTTTCTTTCTATGGATTTGGGCCTATCCATAAAATAAAGGAAGTTGTGGATCGGTTTGTTTACAAAGATGTGTTGGACATCACGTTGTTCCCTTACGCTGAGTAAAATATTCGGCTGATTTGGGTGTTTCAGCATGACAACGATCCCAAACTTGTATCAAAACTTGTCAAATATTGGTTGCGGGAGTCAAAAATTGATGTTTTGTTATGGCCGGCACAATCATCTGACCTAAACTCCTTAGAAAGCCTTTGGAGTATCGTAGATAGGAAGATCAAGAGAGATTCGGAAATAAATAAGCACAACATTTTCTAAAGAATTCGGGGTGCCTGGGAAAGCACACCCAAGGATCAAATTGAGCGTGTTATAGATTCAATGCCTCGTAGGTGTGCAGCTGCTATCAAAAATAATGGTTATGCTATCGACTACTAGCCAAAATTTAATTATTAAAAAAAAAAAATCAAAAGTTGCTTTAGTTTTGACCAAGCAAAAATTGGGTCATTTTAGTTTTCCACATATTATTTTTCGTTCAAACTTATTTTTGTATTTTTATTTTTAGTTTCTTGAAAGTGAATTAAACCCCTCATTTAAAACTGGAAAAATAATTACGATTTGTTTATTTTTGTAAAAGTTACAGGACATTTATTGTCTTTGCGATTTAAGTTGCTTTAGTTTTGGCCACCAGTGTACATATTTCATCCTCACACCAGACCTTGGGTTAAAAAAAATATAGTGATGTGTGTAATATGAAGAGAACCGTATGCTTATTTCGATCGTTTTGATTGTTCCAAACTTTGAGCCTTTGTGGGGAAGGAATGGTCCGATCTCTACCATCTTTATAATGGATCTTGCGTTAATGGAAATATTGAGATGAACTAAGTCTAGATGGAATCGGATGTTAATTTTGCGTCCTATGAGCTTCACAGATATTCAAAATGTTGACCCTTTTTGGGGAGGTACTGGAAGGAGTAGACCGATATATCCTATCTTCATAGCGGATGTTATGTTAGTAGAAATAAAGGGATGTGTGAAATATGAAGAGATCCCTATGCTTATTTCTGATATTTTGGTTATTCGAAACATTGACCCTTTGTGGGGGAGATACCAGAAGGTAGGGCCCGATCTCTATCATCTTTATAACATATCTTCGGTTGATGAATGTTAATTTCGTGTTTTATGACCCTTTGTGGGGGAGGTAACAGAAGGAGTAGACTCATATATTCCATATTCACACCATACCTTGGGTTAATACAAATATTATGATGTGTCTAATTTGGAGACAATCGGACTCTCACATCACATTTTATAAAAGTTGTAATCATTCCAAATTTTGACATTTGTGAGGGAGGTACTTGATGGAGTGGACCATTATTATGGATTTTCGCACCTGACCTAACATTGATGCAAATATTAGAATTCGCAAAGTTGGTGCAAAATCGAATTATCCTTTCTCTTTCTGTGCAGTAGATTATTTTCTTTGAAAATGTTCACATTTTGTGGGGAGGTATCAGTGGACCAATATTGTCCATCTCCGAACTCGATCTAAGTTTGATAATAATATTACAATGTACCAAGTTTAGACCAAATCGGATACTCCCTTCCAGAGTTATCGCGCTCACAAGCCAGCCGGACAAACATATGGACGGACGGACATCACTAGATCGACTCCAAATGTCCTGAAACGGATTTTGTCCAAAGAGACCTAGGGTCTAAAACTGTTATTTCGATAAAGCACGTTTTGGCCATATTAAATGATATTTACCCTATCTAGTCACATTTCTGAGGGTATAACAATCACCCCTTATTATATTTTTGAAGACTAAAGAGAATTCTCTGGAATTTTTGAAAATTACATAATTATCGAAGATATTTCCCCAAAATTTTTGAAGCCTACATATATTATAGTATATTTTTTCAGTTTATTTTAATTTATTTATTTTGTAACAAAAACATATTAATTATTTATTAAAACCTTGAGTTATAACACATTAAATAAATCTCCACTAAAATCGCTTCATATATCCAATAGTTTTTTTCCTTAAGACCTCAAAACCTTATAGGGATTCAAAATACCATTCGGATCCACCAGACGTTTAATATCATGCATCATCTCAATGGCCTCGCTGCTCTTCGATAGCTTCAAATATTGAGGCTTTAGGAAACCCATGCCATGTTCGGCACTGACGCTGCCCTTCAGTTGAGAGGTGCACTCGAAAACAAACGGTTCCAATGCTTTGTACATTTCCTTCGAATACGCCTCTGTGGTTATATTCAAATGAAGATTTAAATCACCCAAATGGCCAAAACCACAAACACGTTTAGCCATATGGCCGACTCTCTGCTCCATCACTTTGACAATGTCGTAAAATGAACGCAACGGCAACGATATGTCATAGGTATACAAATGGCCATCTTTGGCCAAGGCTGGAGCGATGATTTCACGCAGTTTCCACATTTCCTGGATTTTACTGGGCTCTCCCGTAAAGGTGCCATCAATGACATCGCCCTTATCCATGGCTAGCTGAAGGAAATTGTTCAGTTTTTCCATATCGTGTTCGGCATTGCTGCCCGATGTCTCAATCATCATATAGAAGGGATAGGTGTCAATGGGAGATCTATATGTAAAATTTAATAATTAATTAATGAAATAAATTATTAATATTTCCTACTCACTTCAGATTCATATTTTCCACTGTGGCTTGCAGCGAAACCTGATCAATCATTTCACACGAAGATAGAATCTCTCCCAAATAACGTTTGGCATTTTTAAATGTTTGTAGGACACTTTCAAAGGAATTGAGACCTAAAAATGATCCGCCATACCATTTGGAATATTAATTTTAAAATTAATCCAGAAGAGATAAATGAAATGTATATGGACCTACCAACAAATGCCAAATGTACCGACTCCGAACGTGGTGGACATAATATGGCCACTTTTGTCACAACACCCAGTGTGCCTTCGGATCCTATGAAAAGATGTTTCAAATGATAGCCGGTGTTGTCCTTCTTAAAGTCTGACATCAAATCCAAAATTTGACCATTGGGCAATACCTGTAAAGCAAGAAAAGGGTACAAAAGTGAGATTATATTAATGAATATATTCAACAATACTAAACCAGTATGGAAAGGTCAAAAGTCGGGCGGGACCGATTATATGATACCCTACAACACTATGCATATTTAGTAGAGCTCCCGTAACAAAAGAATTTATTTGAAGTAGATCATACCACATATCCACATTTGACTTTAGATCAGTTATAGTTTGGTTCCAGAGGGAACTAAAATAGGGGAGGCATATCCAATTCTGAATCGATTTTCACTAAATTTGACGGATACATTTTAATCTTTTATACCAAATAACATTGCTATAGAGTGCATGATAT